CTTAATTATAATTGTCAATGAATTTTAAGTTGGAATTGGACGTTTTTTTAACACTGAAAAATAACACATTTTCTTACAGACATTCTCTACAGATTCATGTGTGCCTAGGCAAAAGAAAATCTAATTAGCAAAGATGCACTAAGATAACATAATAATAACAATAATAACAATGATATTATAATCTACTAAAATAATTATAATATAAATAATATATATTTTTTATTTCTTATTCCTGTCAGTCTGTTCATACAGTACTATACATATCTATTTGCTTAAAATCATGACTTTTTCCAACAGGTTTCCCAAACATTCTGCCATAGGTCAGCCAAACCTCAAACTTAGCCAGTTGCTATGCTGGGCTGGTCAGAATGCTCTAGCAAACAGAGCAATGTTATGAAAGCACCACACAGTCACAGACAGTTTTACACTATTTGGGGGAAATAAAAGAAAATATTTGAATACATAACTCAGAACTCAACATTTTACAAAAATGTACTCATTTTCTTGCAGGGATGTTCTACAGACGTCTGCGTGCCTATCTCACGACTACCTCAGATTATAGTGGAGACGAAGGAAGATCTGATCAGCAACAATATTACTGGTAGCTTGCCTAGTTTGATTTTCTCATTTAGTGTTCAGAACTGTTTTTTAAACTGCTGATATAATACGGTTATGTTTTTTTTTTCTAGGTCCTATTGCAGGTCATGTAGGTGATGGAAATTTCCATTGTTTAATTGTACTGGATCCTAATGACCCAGACGAGGTGCAAAGGGTTCACTCCTTCACTGAGAGATTGGCCAGGTACTTCTATTTAGTTCCTTTCAGCGGAGTTGATCTTCTGAGGCGGCTGAGAGGAACTGGCAGCACCTTTTGTGCCTATTGTCAGTTTTGTTTGGTGTACCAATCAATATCAGGATTATTTCTCAGAATGTCTTCTGTCATTTGGAGAGTGTAAATTGACAATGACAGACATAGAGGTTCTAGTGTCTGGCTTTGGAAATAATAAAGGGCTACCCGCCTTCAGTCATTATGGGTAAAGTGCAGTCTCTGTCAGGTACAATGGATGTGCGATCGGCACTGACCAGCAGCCAAAGAGAAGACAAACACTGCAATCTCATTTGGTTCAATGAAATCTGGCTGACCTGATGCGCAAGAGTTTGTCCTGATAGGAGCAAATTGAGTTGGACTTGCCCTTTGTGTGAATGACAGATATGATGTTACTGTAAAAGGACAAGTTTGCAAAAACTATAGCCTTATTAGCTGCCAAAGGAGTGTTCACAGTCTACCTGGAAGTTCACCAGGCCTAATTAAATGAATCTGTTAACTTCTCCAATACCTTCAATACCATTCTGACTCTTAAAAGAAAAGTGTGGGGTTCAATTAAAGACTGGAATACACTACACGACTTTTAAAATCTGAGCAGATCTTAAAACAGTAGGCATCACACACTTGCCGTCTTTGTAAAAAGTTACAGAGAAAAACTGGGCATCGTACGCTAAACAACTTTCAAATCATTCCGAACAATCTCATACAGAAACATGCACTTGACAAATAAAAAAAAAGTGTTTTAAAATCGGCTCGAAATATGTTCGGTTTCCTCCGACGTAATGGCATCGAAGTCTGAAGCAAAAAAAAAAAATCAGAGACCGTGCCCATTATACACTTGATTTTTTTTCAAATCTGTCAACTTCAATTGGCCAACGTTTTCAGACTGGCTCTGACTTTCGGCAACTAGCCTCGACGCCTCCAGACTGCAAATCGGGGGGGGGAAATTGTGTAGCGTATTCCCACATTAAGTTAAGCTCAATCAACAGCTTTTGTTCCATAAATTTGCTTACCTCACAAAATGATTTAGACTTCTATTCCAGCAAGAATTATGGGTAGAGTATACAATACAATGGTGTACCTTGTCATGTCGAACAGTGTGTACAATCTGCATGAATAAGATGAGTGTTGGATTTCTGCTGCGCCAGGGAGCCCTCGAGACCAGTCGACATCATTCAGTTGGAGAATGTGGAGGTGGAAACACCTGCGAATCGAAACTGGACTGGACAGACAGTTCAGCTGCACAACTGATCAAGACTGCCAGATGTGCTTCTGGTTTCAGCTTAAAACTACGTTACTAAATTAATCCAGCTTCGTTTAAAAACAGCGTTTTAATTTCAAAACGCTCTCCATCCACATTGCACTCAATCGCCGTTCCATGTATGGTCTAAAATTGCCATCATGTTTTGACACAGGACGGCAATTGCGAGGAATCTTTGCAGGAATGTTATATGAAGATTGTACATTTATTGTTAGCAACACTGTTAGTGAATTACACATAGCAGGCACATGCTGGTATAAACTGATATCAATAGGTACAATATGCGTCACATGACTAAATGAAACCGGTCTACTCGACCTGCTCCAAGTGGGATTCTATCCGATGTGGGAGCCGTTATTGGTCCTCTTGAGGCCAGGGGAGTAAGGTTTACACACAGCTCTTTCTGGCCTACGTTACACTCACCCCCCTAATCCTCACTCCCATCCGGGTCACGGCACCAAATGTAACCGTTCCTACTCGACCTGCTCCGAGCGGGATTCTAACCGACGTGGGAGTTGCGGATGCTAAAGACCGCAGCCGCTAACGTTCCTCTTGAGGCCAGGGGAGTGAGGTTTACGCACACAGCTCTTACTGGCCTACGTCCGTTACATAAACATGCATCATGGTTTTCAAATAACTCAGTTTTCACAATCCACTCTACAACGTGAAATTTTCAATTTTATCCAGTTGGAAGAGCTCCATTTTCTCCATTTCTCAACTGTATCTGGATTAATGCAGACATAGCCTAAAATAGTCAATTTTTTTGCCAGTAACAATTACAGTGAATTAATTCATTCTCTTGTCGTCTTTCTCAATGCAGGAGGGCACTGGCGATGGATGGGACTTGTACCGGTGAACATGGGGTCGGCCAAGGAAAGCGGGCTCTGCTCAGGGAAGAGGTCGGTCCTTTGGCCATAGAGGTCATGCAGGGCCTCAAGGCCAGCCTGGACCCCAAAAACCTTATGAATCCTGGAAAGGTGTTGTAATTACCCCAAACCAACACAGAATACTAAAAATTATACTCTGTCTGCACTAAACTTTCTGACCACTAGTGGTCAGGAGAATGAGGTTTGTTTTTTTGATTTTAAGAAAAAGAATGATTTACAAAATCTACATTTTCTTTGTGAAAGGTGCATATCACTCAAGCTCTCTGCATGAACATTCAGAAGTACAAAATGTCTTATGTAGCATCATTTTGAAAACACATTATGAATTTTCTAAGAGCCTTGAAAAAGTATTATTCAGTTCTTTTATTTTGCTTTTCCATGGCAATCTGACACCATTTTGAAATATGAATTAATGTGAAATCATAGTGCCTTGACAAATTTGTGTTTAGTCTGGCCATTTCCCCTTCTACATATCTGAATATAATTATTGAAATGGATACATTTGCTTATGAAAGAGATTCTGTGAAGCAGAACTCAACATCTGATGAGCTAAATGTGATGCAAAAAATAAAAAGTGCTCACATAATATGGTTTTGTCTCTTTTCGTTCTTTTAGAAAATTCAGTTTTTGGATTTATTTGACACTTTGTGTGTGTGCAATGGACCGATCGTTAAAAGAAAGCAACATCTGGTCTTATTTCATCTTGTTTTAATTATATGTATGATCATCATCATTATTACTCGTCCCACAGATTGCACATCAAAATCATCAGACACTTATTTGTACTTCCTAAAAACAGGCATCCGTTCATATCCCTGGAAAAAAAGAAAAGAAAAACATACAAAATAACAGACTTGAACGCAAAAATAAGAAAAGGATGGGTTTCGAGAGTGCCGAGTCACTTTCTGCAGCCCATGCTGCACAAGATAGTACTACGCTACCTGACTCTGTTTATTTGTTTTACACGGTGAGGGGAAATTGTTATCCATTGTTTTGATGGATGGTGTTTGTATGCCCTCATTTACAGGCACAAAGCAGGAAAACAAACCTCAGAAATGCTCTACTTCTATCCAACACAAAAAGTAATAGGTTGTCAAATATTTTCTTGCAGTTATTTTTTCTACCTTTTTCATTTTACGGCTTTCGTTTTTTTAATGTTTTATTTTTTTATTCTTTTTTACAATTTCTGCAACATTATTTTCTAACAGTGCTTGCTGTTTACACAGTAGACGGAGGCATCCTGAAGGTTAAATATATTTCTTGTGAGGTTTCTCACAGATTTTTCAAAAATAAAAAGTAAATGCAGATCATAGAAATGATCTTGTAATAGATTCACACCAGTTTATCTGGGTTTTACATACAGTAGTGAAGCAACATTAGCTTACCAGACGCAAGCTGGTCGGTCACATACAGAAAACATGGGAAGATGGACAGAAGCTGAAATCACACACACATACACACACACACACACACACACACACACACACTGAATACGTACTCAAGGCTTTTACAGGGAAATTGTCCGAATATTATGGTCAGCGCTTCATATTAACTGCCCAAAAATTGCAGATGAAACTAGGAAAATAGCTTTGAGCTTCTTATTGTTTCAGAATCCATGGGGGAAAGACATCTACTGTGAATTGTAAACATTTGAAGACAGACTGAGAGTGTATTTCTCTCTGTTTATGACCGTAAACCCCCATCCCAACACACATACTGATGTCTTGGACTTCCTCTGGCACTAACAGGAAACACAATTTACACATTTCCCCGCCTGTGGACACATGATCACACACATGCACACACAGAATAAGTAAATCTACATCCACCGGCTGTCCAACACATCACTAACTAGTGAACCAGCACACGAAACTCCTCCCACGAACCAGTTATGAAACCCCGCCCCCTGTCACACCCCTTATGGCCCCTCTAATCAGCATGGTTTGACTGACAGGACAGGTATGGCCTCTGGATTGGTTTGCAAAGGGTGTTCTACTTCCTACTTGTTTGCCGCCAGTGCCATGCCCCTTTATCACTCCGCCCTTTTTGTTGCCCCGCCCCTCTTTCCCATTTCCTTCCATCTGATTACATACACAAGGAGAGAGGACCGGGTCAAAATACAGACTGAACACACGTCGACAAGCACACGGAGCATGTAGAGGAGGCGAGAAAACGAGACGTTATCCAAAGCCAGAGATCCGGTGTTGGTGGTTGGCGTGGGGGGTCCGGTTAGCAGTTTAGCAATCTCTAGCACAGCGCGTAGGAGATTCTGGGATGCAAGTGGTAATGACGGTGTCGGCTGGATGAACGCTTTTATTTGGTTCAGTTTTGCGATGACACATTGCCGTTTCCGTAGGTTTGACCGAATTGGTTGGTGGATTGATTTATTTGGTTATTTTTGTGTCATGATATCCAGGTTTAGGTCCATAAAGTGCCCTACAGTGAGAGGAAAAAGAGACAAAGAAGGAATATAAGAATTATACTGACCCCGAGGGTGTTTTCACACTTGGTCTTGGTTTATGTCGGGTCTAAGGAGCAGGTCTGAATGTGGTTTACTTTAAGTCAGTGGTGTGGGTAACATATAATGTGTGCGTGTCTATATATATATGTCTATATATATCAGAGTTTACGCTAGAAAAAAATGGTGCTGGTCAAAGTGACAACGGAAACCCTGATATATATATATATATATATATATATATATATATACACAATTAAAAATAAAAACATAGATTGATCTAATTTGAAGACTGATTGGCCCTTTGACTAATTGCTAGTTGGTCATAACATAATGGCTATGTTTAAGCAACTGGCAGCAGACCTCCTTTCAATACCACATCAATAAATTTTTCTGTAGCCTAAACAAAAACAAAAGTCTCACCATGTCTTAAGCATACAATTATAATGATGTTCTTATAATTGTATGTAGCCTATATAACAGGAACATGTTGCACTGAACTGTATTTTCCTTTTCAAAGTGATTCCAATCATATTTCAAGAAATTCAAAAACATCAAGGTGAACAGTGTGCATCAGCTTAAATAATCCATTATTTATCGGCTTTAATCTATCGGTCAAATTTTCTTTTCGGGCCGATACCGATTACACAAAAAATTTACATATACTGGCCGATACCGATATGGTGGCCGATATATTGTGCATCCCTAAATATACATACATTATATATATATATATATATATATACCGGGTCAAAATGCAGACTGAACACACATCGATAAGAACACGGAGTATGTAGAGGTGGCAAGAAAACGAGACTTTATCCGTACCGTAGTATACTGTATATATATATATATATATATATATATATATATATAAACTACGGAACCGCCTGCTCTCTAATCGTTCTCGGGGTACTTTGATGTCATACACCGATCGGTCTGCACAGCGTTGCTTAAAGTTTAACACACCAAACAGCTTTAGCGCCTACACTCTTTTGTTATGCACCGTCATCATTGTTCTGGCAAATAGGGGGTTGGACCACAGCGGTGGTTGCTGTGTGCTGTTGCTGTTCTGTTACTGCTAGAACTCGAAAATCACATTGTATTTGATACAAAACTAACTAGACTAAATCAAAAGAAAAAAAAGTCATAACTGAATAGTATTTCATTGTCTCTATAGGTAAACATATTTTTTATATAATATTTAAATACTGTAAGTAGATCTTCTGTAACTATCCGAGATTATTAAAACTTTGACAAGTACGATCACAGCGAACATTCAAATGTATAACTATGAAACAGTTTCTCACACAGTCTTTTCAACCACACATTATCATTATTTCTGTGTTACAAACAATTGAATGATTACAGAAATACTGGGATAAAAGTTTATAGTTTGGATATACACTCACCTAAAGGATTATTAGGAACACCATACTAATACTGTGTTTGACCCCCTTTCGCCTTCAGAACTGCCTTAATTCTACGTGGCATTGTTTTAACAAGGTGCTGAAAGCATTCTTTAGAAATGTTGGCCCATATTGATAGGATAGCATCTTGCAGTTGATGGAGATTTGTGGGATGCACATCCAAGGCACGAAGCTCCCGTTCCACCACATCCCAAAGATGCTCTATGGGTTGAGATCTGGTGACTGTGGGGGCCATTTTAGTACAGTGAACTCATTGTCATGTTCAAGAAACCAATTTGAAATGATTCGAGCTTTGTGACATGGTGCATTATCCTGCTGGAAGTAGCCATCAGAGGATGGGTACATGGTGGCCATAAAGGGATGGACATGGTCAGAAACAATGCACAGGTAGGCCATGGCATTTAAACGATGCCCAATTGGCACTAAGGGGCCTAAAGTTTGCCAAGAAAACATCCCCCACACCATTACACCACCACCACCAGCCTGCACAGTGGTAACAATGCATGATGGATCCATGTTCTCATTCTGTTTACGCCAAATTCTGACTCTACCATCTGAATGTCTCAACAGAAATCGAGACTCATCAGACCAGGCAACATTTTTCCAGTCTTCAACTGTCCAATTTTGGTGAGCTCTTGCAAATTGTAGCCTCTTTTTCCTATTTGTAGTGGAGATGAGTGGTACCCGGTGGGGTCTCTTGCGGTTGTAGCCCATCCGCCTCAAGGTTGTGCGTGTTGTGGCTTCACAAATGCTTTGCTGCATACCTCGGTTGTAACGAGTGGTTATTTCAGTCAAAGTTGCTCTTCTATCAGCTTGAATCAGTCGGCCCATTCTCCTCTGACCTCTAGCATCAACAAGGCATTTTCGGCCACAGGACTGCCGCATACTGGATGTTTTTCCCTTTTCACACCATTCTTTGTAAACCCTAGAAATGGTTGTGCGTGAAAATCCCAGTAACTGAGCAGATTGTGAAATACTCAGACCGGCCCGTCTGGCACCAACAACCATTCCACGCTCAAAATTGCTTAAATCACCTTTCTTTCCCATTCTGACATTCAGTTTGGAGTTCAGGAGATTGTCTTGACCAGGACCATAGGCGTCATTTACGGGGGGGACGGGTGGGACATGTCCCCACCACTTTTTGCCAGGGTCGATATTGTCCCCACCACTTTTGAAACATCTCGCGTCACGGATGTAACAATACAAATAAAACATCTCCAGTTAACTAGCAGCATTCGTTTCATTCATTTGTTAAATAAGACGCGATCTAGCGCTGAAATGTGTTGTCTTCACTCGGACGCGCGCTTCAATCCGTTGCAGAGATTCTATTCGTTCCAGAGAAATCACAATTCAAAATGCACACAAACGTGTCCCTGCTTCTCTGGGTTCTAATCCGCACTCGTATAGTTTTTTTTTTCCCTCATCAAAACCGATAATGTTTATCAGTGATAAAGTATATCAAGATTCTTGATATACAACCACTGATAAACATTATCGGTTTTGATGAGGGGAAAAAACTATACCGAGTGCGGACTAGAACCCTCAACCCCCGACACGCTTGGCAAAAATTCTGCCACTGGACTATCACAATACATATGCAACGCAGGCGGATCTATGTATTTATTCACGTAAAAATTCTCGATTCTGACAACATTATATTAGATCTCATTTTACGACCAATTAAACCCAAAGTACCATCACATTTTTGGTCGGACATCATACATTTTTATTTATTTCAATCAGTAAGCTACAGGACATCGTCTTTCAAACCATGACCTGCGCGAAAGAGAAAAAAGAATGAATGCGTCATTGTACCCAGCACTTTTGAAAATGCCCTTCCGAATGCGTCTCTGTCCCCACCACATTTCAAACCAAACTGACGCCCATGACCAGGACCACACCCCTAAATGCATTGAAGCAACTGCCATGTGATTGGTTGATTAGATAATTGCATTAATGAGAAATTGAACAGGTGTCCCTAATAATCCTTTAGGTGAGTGTAAACACAGATAAAGCACATTTTCAAAATAACAACGCTTGAAATAAAGATTGCTTCAATTACATTGAATGAATGCGACATTTTCTTATTTGTCATTGAATCATTCATTCAATAGATTGTTCAAAAACACTGCCGGTGTCTCATTTTAGAGGCACTCAGTACACCCGGTTAAAGAAGTCACCGTTTGCCATTGATAGTGTGAAAGTGTGAAAACTTGCATTTGCATATTAATATAATTTGTGGTGTTATATTTATTATTATTATTAACAATATATTATTAAAAGTGATCTGAGTTCTAGATCTTTGTGAATGCAATTTTTCATAGAGGACTCGAGTATGAAAACTTGCATAAGTAGCAAATGATTATTATTATACTATAAAAGTGGTCTGATTTCTAGATCTTTGTGAATGCAGTTTTTTTTAATGGAGGACTCAAGTGTGAAAACTTTCATTTGCATTGCATAGCAATTTTGGTTCCTTCATAATAGCGTAAGGTCATGAGACCATTAGAGGGTTTAGGTGTTAATTTCACATTTACTATGCGTCTAAAAATGTTCCCGACAAGTGTGAAGGTGTATTTACGATAACAGCTTGTCAAAAAAAGATTTGTGTTGCTACTCTGGAGGATGCTTTCTAAAGTCTATTCAAAAGCGGTGCATTGAATTGATAAGATAGTGCTGCTAATTACAGTTCGATAAAGTAAAAAATTTCAATATAAAATGATTACTTGAAATATCCGATTATCGAGGCGTGTTTGCATGTAGGTGAATATTTGTGTGATGGGGTTCACCTTTCTCAGTGTTAGCAGAAGTAGATGATGGAGGTCAGTCTGAAGGATGTTCAGGGCAGGAGCGGTTGATCTCAAACCAGGAGTCTATACAGCTAATGAAAAAGATGATAAAAATGTCAGTTTAGGCTCAATTTTAATGCAATCTACCGTATGTTAGAAAAACAACATTTCCAGTAGCATATTGCTTTTAAATGATTCTACATAAGGTCTCCTAAGCAGGCACAATGAGTTTCAAGCTTCAAATTATTTTTCAGTCCTCACTAAAAGGGAATGACAAAATCACAGCCAATCTGAACATATTTGATGTTTAATGTACAGCGATGTGGAGCAGGATTCTGGACTGGATATAGAAACCAAGCAAGAGTCACAAATGTCTTGCCAGTCGCAGCTGGTTCGGCCAAACACATTAACTTAGAAGTGATAGGATTTATTGGTTGTCGCTTTATTGCGTCTCGCCTGGTCAGGACTGAGCTTATAACTTGCTTGTGGCAAATTTGTTTGATTGCAAAAGAACACCAGCCAGCCAATCGGTTCACTTTTCAAGGTGCCTGCGGTTTCAGACATATATGCGTGATGCATGTGCTATTCAATAGCCAGTACCTCCTGCTGAGACACCATATACAGACATCAAATGTCAATCATATAGTTACATAATCACATAATTATATATAGGACATGACAAGGTTTGTGTTTCATGTTCAGCAAAAAAAAAAAAAAAAGTAGAATGTTAATTCTCAGGTAACTTGTCATTCATTTGACTGACTAAAAGCTAACATTTCCTGTCATGTTTAAAGAGGACCTATGATGCCCTTTTACAAAGTCTTGAAGGGGGGTCTGCTAGAATAGGTTTTCATGCTTGAATGTTATTTTTTCCCCACATATTTTACATGGTTGCAGCTCCTTTCTTCCCAGTCTGTCAGTAACACTCTAGGCGTGTTCGACTTCGGCTGGATGTAACCGATCGCAGAGATGCCGCTTGCAGACGGGGAGGAGCTGAAAGCGGAGACGTGAAGTCGGACACTTTCTGCTTCCTGTAGTGACGCTTGTGTGGTGTTTGCCTACTTTATCACAGATGAAGTGAATTAAATGCAATATTTGTCAAATACACAGTTTTCATTCAATACTTTATGTACTGCTTAATACAGGATCTGTTTGTACAAGAATAAAGTTCAACATAAGCCTATTCAATTGCAATACCATTGAAGTGGGGTCTGTTTTTATCAGTTTTATTTTGATAAACATGACATTATAACATCGCCGCGACTACATGAAAGAGCTTTTACTGTTATAAAACCCCTTATTTGTGAGCATTAGCGGAACTTAAGGTGTCAGAATAAACACGAAACGCATGTGATCGTAGTCATGCGGTTGATCCGGCCAATTGACGCTCTGGAGAAGCTGCGCAGAATGAACAAGCCGTCTGCTCTCGAATCGCTCTCGCGGTATTTTTATGCCATACGTCACAGTGACGTGGCGTCGGCGCCGTCTCACGTCAGACAAAATTTCTAACCGGCATGCACTGCTTGAAGTCAAGATGCCCATCGGTCTGTGCAGCGCTGAATGAAGTTTAGATCCTGTCTTTATGAAGCTCCTCCTCCTGAAATGTGCAATGTGCTCTGATTGGTCAGCTGGACCAGTGTGCTGTGATAGGTCGACCGTTTTGAGTGTGTTTTGGAAATGCCACACCTCTTACCATAACCACGAGTTACCATAACCACCTTTTTTTTGCGTGTGCCTTGGCAGAGAATTATTTAAATGAGGAATATTGTGACATGAACGTTCCCCGAAGAAAACTCAAGACTACATTCGAGGCGTTTCAGGGAGTTCAAAAACAGTGCTTACTGATATAGAGAATAACTCCCTTTGGAGTGACTTTGTGAGACATTTTTCATGCTCAAACAGCAGCATTACACACTAAAGAAAGTTGAAAATGTAAAAAAGTATAATAGGTCCTCTTTAAGATTAGACCAACATAGGTTCGACACAAGGAGGTTTGTCATTATCACAAACATGTTATTGGTAGTTAGTTGTGGTGATTAAAAAAAATGTTCAATATGCAATGGTGGCAATGATGATTTAGAGGTATAGTAAAGAGAAATGTTTTGTTGCTCACCTTTTGTGATAGATACAGAGGCACGGCAGTCTAGCGATTGTGTCTCCTTGCTGTAGCTCCTCGAGACATATTACACATTCTCCTGCGTCTCTTGACAACACGTCATCTATAACATACAAGCATTTCATTCTAAATATAAATATTATACACAATCCTTATGCAGATTTTTGCGACACATTTGCAGTACCAACATGTCACAACTGTTTTCTGAATGGGATGTTGGGCACTGCAGATTCATGAAAACATCCTCTCTATCATTCAAAGCGTCTTGTTTGCCAGCAGGGGGCAGCGGAGAGTAAAGACGCATGATATGCAGTGTACAGTGTTCCTCTACTCTCTCACTCACGGTAGATGACGGCTGGTTAAGTGAGGTGGGCTAGCAGTTAGCATAACTAGTAGTTAAAGACAGTTACTCATGCTTCTGTATGCATGTTTGTGGTGGAGAGATGGCGACGAGGTGTGAACTCGTCTGCTAATAGCTCAAGGGCAACAACAAACACGATTTGACTTGCATGCCCATACCGGCCTAATGACTCACACAAACAAACACACACACCGTTCTCAGCCTGTTTTAGTTTCCAGTAAAAGTCTTCTTCACAGGAAATGCGCCTGAAAACGAAACGAGCCACTTCCTTTCCTGTAACGTGCGCAGCTTCCCCTGGAAACACCTGTGTTGGAGTGTGTTTCTGTGTGTGTAAAGGTGAAGAGTGTGGTAAATACTGACAGAAGGTTAGAGAATCATGACAGGATAATGGAGTTTGTGTGAATGCAGGATGTTGATTGAGGGTTAACCCACTTTCCCAGAATGCTTTAGGATGAATCTCATACAACAGATGTACAATACCACCTGAAAGATGTGACACAAATGTGCCGTTTCCTCTTGAATGGTTTATTGGTATAACGAGTTTTGTATTCAGGTTTTCTATTTCAGTTTAGTTATTTTTAATGATTTAATGGATAGTCTGTTTAATATATATATATATATATATATATATATATATATATATATATATATATATATATATATATATTATTAATACTTAACATATGCAATAACAAATATGGCCAATCACCTGCATTGCTGAAAAAGCAATGGTGGATAAGGGAAGATGGAGATCCATTGTTTTGTGTGCAGGGAGCAGGCAGACGGGACAAAAGATTGATTGCAGTTTAGAGAGGATGTGATGGAGGGTGAGGGAACGACACGGGGTGGAAAGCAAGAAGAGGTGAGCTGGGAAAAACAGGAGATGATGGAGGGAATGAATAGAGAACAGACAGCAGATATATGCTCCAAATACAAATCAGCTAAGCTGAATCGATGGAGAACGGGAGTATGGGACAATTGTAACATGCTACACTTCTTCAAAGTTAGGCTGAGATTATTATAACATATAGTATATATAACATTATTGTTGAAAAAAAAAGTGAAATATTATCACAATGTAAAATATCTGTTGTCTGTTTGAACATATTTTAAAATGTCATTTATTCCTGTGATGCAAAACTGAATTTTCAGCATAATTAACAGTGTCACACGATCCTTCAGAAATCATTCTAATATGCTGATTTGCTGCTCAAGAAACACATTATTATCAATGTTAAAAGAAGTTGTGGTGGTTAATATTTTTGTGGAAAACATAATTAAAAAAAATCAGGATTCTTTGATGAACAGAAAGTGGAACAGAACAGGTTTTTATTAGAAATTGAAATATTTAGTAAAATTATAAATGTATTTTCTGTCACTTTTATGCTGCTTAATGCATCCTTCTTTTAAAAAAACTAAACCTTTGAATAGAAGTGTATATATACTGTTAGTATATTATACTTAAAAGTATTTCAAATAATCAAATAATAATGTATCCCATAATTAAAATAATATATATACTTTGAATAATTAAATGTCTCACTTAGACTTTTGCTTTAAACATTAATTTTGACAAAAAAAAGAATACTAATAAAAAATGAGTATTAGTATAATACCAATAAAAATAAAGATACAACTATTCAGTAATAAGTATTAATGTTGGCATTACTTTTTGTGTGCTCTTATTTAAGATAAATGTATTAATTCATTTTTTTAAAGTTTTCTTTTAGTTACAATTGTCTTCAACTCAATCAACTGACAACTGTAACACTCTGAGATCTTTTATCTAATTCAATATTATATTTCTTATTTATAGTACAAATTAATTACACAGTTAATTTTTACTTACAGTAACAGTTATTTTTTTTGCACATATAAATGTTTCTAGAAATCAGAATATGTCAGGTAGATGTGTAATAGTCTGTGAGTTATAAAGGAACAAAAAGGGAAACAATTGCAATTATTCTAGCTCCTCAAAAATCCTCAAGCGCTTGCACAATTTTCCAGACGCTAGTCTCGGCAAACCCCCACACACACATCCCTGGACGACAGCAGGACACACACCCTCCTGCACTTGAGCTTGTTATCCTCTTAGGGCCGATGACTTCAGCAGCTCAGAGGAGCTGCACTAGTTTACAGGAATGGACAGGTGTGTGTGAGAGAGATCAGTCGTATCAGTCGTTAGGCCTTTTAGTTCAAGTTGTTGGTAATCATGTTCCCCATTCTTTCCGCTGGATAGCAGTCAATTTGTGTCTAGGCTCTTCGGTTCGGTCCG